GTGTGGAAGGCACAATTCATACATGCTATTAAGCCTAAGAACTGGAAGGTAGTGTCATGAAAATAATGCAATGGAATTGCCAAGAATTGCTGTATATTAGGTTATGGCAACTTAGAATGTGTATTTTAGCAGTACTCTCCAGTTTCTGTGACATTCCAGCATACTTACTGTAAAGATTATGTATTTCAAAGATAATCACCTCATACTATCTAATATTGACTTTTAATCAAGAACTAATTCAAATTCAGACTTTTAAGTTCCCACTCAACCATTACCACCTTTTTTCACTTAGGCTAAATCTTGTGTTAATTGTAACTTTTACTCTCAACAATCCCCTGTGATCCTATAGTGTTATTTAAAATTAGGAAAACTCAGAGATTTTGTAGTTTGTAGTGTGCAGTTGTAGTTTGTGCCACCCATACCCTTTTTAAAGCCATTTGTCTGTTTTCTTTTCTGCCTTTATTTTTGTCTCTAAAAATATTTATTAAAAACAATAATTTTGCAGGTTGGTTTTTTTTTATTTTTTTATTTATTTTTTTTTTTTTACTAGGAATTTTACAGGAAGGGAAGTATTTCTTAAAAAGTGAAGGCAGTGCTTTCTGCTTTCCTGCAAAACCAGATCAAATCTTTTGGTGCAATCAAAACTACTCCACAGCATTTTGGACAGTTTGGGACTTATATTATTTATTTCCCCCTGATGTAGCTGTAATAATCCTGTTGGTCAGTAGTACTTGTCATTACTTATCCCAGATAAATTTCTAAATCCTTACCAGAGGCAAAGTAGGTGGGATAGTTAAATTGTTCCAGCTCCTGCTTTTTATTAACTTATTCCTACCTTATGGTGAAATGAATTAACCTGAAGAGCCAACAGGGGGTTTGCTACTGCCACATCAGTAATTTTTCATCCTGGGTAATTTTTTCTTCATCTAGTAAGTAATAATAACTGATGTCTGGTTTCTCCTGGGGTTTCTGGCTTTCAGATGCAGGAGCGTGTGTGGTGAAGGATTGTCGCTGTGTCACGCCCGAGCATGTGGGCAGTCTGCTTGTCCAGGGGAGAGCACTCAGCTGCCTGGCTGTGTTTTCATACACATCCCTCAGAAATGCAGTTCTCTGTGGCTTCGTTTTGCCCCTGCGCTCTCTGTTGTGTCACTCCGGAGTTCCTGGAATTGCAGCCAGTGTTACTCACTGCCTCTGCTCCCTGTGCTCTGGCAGGGGTGTTAATTGTCTGCCCAAGTGTCCCTGTGGTGCAAGAAGTGCTGCCTCTCCTGCCTCCTCCTCTGCACTGAGGCCACTCAGGAGGCTCCGTCAGCAGCCTGGAGGTGCCCAGCTTTTGTGTGACTCAAATCCAGATGGATAATTTAGAGAGGCTTCGCTGAAGCAGTGTTCTGACTCCTTCATTTCTGTGACAAACCTTTCTTTCCTCTTTGATGGGAGAATCCTCTTCAGCTGCTGGTTTGTCCCAGGGGGGTTTTCAGAGAGCACCTGGCTAGGCAGGTAAATGGAGTGAAAAGGGAGGTTCAGGTGAGGCTGTCATCATCAGTAATGTTTGCTGGGTTGCCCAAGAGCAGCCTCTTCCATGCACACGCTGACTGCCAAGGGGCGCAAACCAGGTCATGGCTGCCAGGATTAGCAGGCAGCAGTGCGGGGGAAAACCTGAACCAACCTCCTCCCTCTCCTGCCAGTGCTGCTGCGTTTCCTTTTACAGCCTTTAATGAAGATTTTGCCAGTTTCACAACCATCAGGAAAGCCAATTTCCACCTCAGTGTTCAATCGTGTCTATTAATAGAAGGCACTAATACTTGAGCACAGCTGGATCCAGCCACCCTTCCTGATCTTTGTGTTCTTATATGGTATTTCTGTTGATAACAGATGAAGTTTTGCTGCTTTTTATGTAGCAGATTTTTTGCATTGCTTCTAATGAGTAACTATTTTCTTTTTCTGATTGGTGGTATAGCTTAGAGAAGTGAGAATCTTTATCTGTATTACTTTCATGGCCTATTGAAGCAGTGCTGGGAGAGCTCAACAACAGTGGTGGAAATGTAGTATTTCATTATTATTATTAATGATAATAATAATGATAAAGTATTATTATTTCGATTATTATTTCTGATTTTTCCAAGGAAGCTTCTTGACCTTAATGATTAAAGAAACTTAAGGTTAATTACTTTTAGCTGGCACCCAAATTAATATTGTTCTAAAGAGAATTCTCTCTGCTTTCTCATGCAACAAACAAGAAAACAAGGAAAAAGAAGAGCAGTTGATAAGTATCTTTGTGTGAAATCCTTACTATTTTTGCAGCAGGCAAATTTATCTAGTTTATCCTCAAAACCTACTGTCAGTGTTTTTTTTCTGCTATACACTTTATTAACTGTCACCGAATTTTTGTTTTGTGAGCTTTGCAGAAGCACCTTATTGTGAAGGAAGGAATTTTTGAGTAGAAGGCATCCGAAGTCACAGAATTGTTTGGGAATGTCCACAGAAATGCATAATTTTATTTTTACATTTCCAGTCGCATGGGGAAGGTTGGGAAGGCTACCTCTAAAATTTGAGATTAATCAGAAAAATAACAACTCAGGTTATCTGAGGACTTAATTTCCATGTTGTCTCTGGGATGGGTGTGTGTCATGACACAGATTCACATTTTTTAGGTGTTCTGCAGCAGGACTGTAGCAAATCCTGGGGCTCTTCCTGGAAGTTACCCTCAGAGCTGTTGGCAGCACCTGAAAATCAGGAAGGCTGTGCCTGTGTGGAGAACAGTGCTGTCTTCCTTGGTGGCAGGGCCATGCTAAAAATAGACTTAAACATTAAAAATGGGAATCTGCTGAAGTACAAAAGGTGCCTCATGCATGGAAGAGCTGGCTTTGTGTAAAAATACAGGATTTGCAACTTGTAGAGCTGTGCTGTGGTCAGAATAGCACAAACCTTTAATAAGAAAAATTCTATATTTCACTCAGAAATTGGATATTTTCTTTGTCAGTCTGTGGATATTTATCCCTTTCTAATTATCTTCCAGGGTTGACTTAGTTCTTATTATTTGCTCAAGGTAAAGGGCAGTACAGATGCTATTATGAAAAAGTGGTTGAAGGTTTTGTTAGTGGTAGAGGACACTTCTTGGAAAAAAACCCACTCTCTCCCATAATACCACAGGTATTGAAAATTTGATTATATGGCAAAAAGAAATTCAAGAGCAGATCACTATTGGTATTTCAAGAAGCACCTGTTAATAATAATAATCTGTAATACAGATTATTTGGGTTTGTTATGCTTAAAAATAGCTCTAGTTAGTGGCCTAAATAATCTCAATTATTTTCAATTAGTAACATCCATGTACTCAGAGTGTCTGGGTAAATCAGTCCAAATTTAGAGACTTGTAACAGGGCTGAGGGGAAATGAGCAGGTTCCTTCCCTCGGCACCAGCGCTGAGAAATCAGAAGGTGGGAGGCAAATACTGCTTTTTGGATGCTGAATTTAGCTTCACCCCTGGCTTTTGCTGCGTGGCTCTCGGCGACAGCTCACTGACAGCTGGGACCCTGGTCTGGCCAGCCCCAGGAGGAGC